TGTCTCAAAGTTGGCCAAAACGCTCAGAAATGTCTATGAAAAATCGTGTTTTGGGCTGATTTTAAGCAGCCACAGCGTCTGATCCGAGGCGGGCATTTTGCTCCCTCAACGGGCAGTTGGTCTTTGGACCTTCCTTTAGCATGCCTCTGTTACGGAGTGCGATTATCAGTCTTAGTTTGGGAGCAGTATTGTCTCAAAGTTGGCCGAAACGGTCAGCAGTGTCTTTGAAAAATCGTGTTTTGGGCCGATTTTAAGCAGCCACTGCGTCTGATCCGAGGCGGGCATTTTGCTCCCTCAACGGGCAGTTGGTCTTTGGACCTTCCTTTAGCATGCCTTTGTTACGGAGTGCAATTATCAGTCTTAGTTTGGGAGCAGTATTGTCTCAAAGTTGGCCGAAACGCTCAGAAATGTCTATGAAAAATCGTGTTTTGGGCCGATTTTAAGCAGCCACTGCGTCTGATCCGAGGCGGGCATTTTGCTCCCTCAACGGGCAATTGGTCTTTGGACCTTCCTTTAGCATGCCTTTGTTACGGAGTGCGATTGTCAGTCTTAGTTTGGGAGCAGTATTGTCTCAAAGTCGATCAAAACGGTCGCAAGTGTCTTTGAAAAATCGTTGTGACTATTTTGGTCAACTTTGAGACAATACTGCTCCTAAACTAAGACTGACAATCGCACTCCGTAACAAAGGCATGCTAAAGGAAGGTCTAAAGACCAATTGCCCGTTGAGGGAGCAAAATGCCCGCCTCGGATCAGACGCAGTGGCTGCTTAAAATCGGCCCAAAACACGATTTTTCATAGACATTTCTGAGCGTTTCGGCCAACTTTGAGACAATACTGCTCCCAAACTAAGACTGATAATTGCACTCCGTCACAAAGGCATGCTAAAGGAAGGTCCAAAGACCAACTGCCCGTTGAGGGAGCAAAATGCCCGCCTCGGATCAGACGCAGTGGCTGCTTAAAATCGGCCCAAAACACGATTTTTCAAAGACACTGCTGACCGTTTCGGCCAACTTTGAGACAATACTGCTCCCAAACTAAGACTGATAATTGCACTCCGTAACAAAGGCATGCTAAAGGAAGGTCCAAAGACCAATTGCCCGTTGAGGGAGCAAAATGCCCGCCTCGGATCAGACGCAGTGGCTGCTTAAAATCGGCCCAAAACACGATTTTTCATAGACATTTCTGAGCGTTTCGGCCAACTTTGAGACAATACTGCTCCCAAACTAAGACTGATAATTGCACTCCGTAACAAAGGCATGCTAAAGGAAGGTCCAAAGACCAACTGCCTGTTGAGGGAGCAAAATGCCCGCCTCGGATCAGACGCAGTGGCTGCTTAAAATCGGCCCAAAACACGATTTTTCATAGACATTTCTGAGCGTTTCGGCCAACTTTGAGACAATACTGCTCCCAAACTAAGACTGATAATTGCACTCCGTAACAAAGGCATGCTAAAGGAAGGTCCAAAGACCAGTTGCCCGTTGGGGGAGCAAACTGCCCGCCTCGGATCAGACGCCGTGGCATGTTATAGGAGGGGTCCCGTGGGGTCGCGAAATTTTTCCTGGGGGTCGCGGAAATTTTTGGCTTCAAATTTGGGGTCGCGAGCCGAGAAAGGTTGAGAACCGCTGGTCTAGAGTTTTGGCCGCCTCCACCGGCCCTCTGGGCCACTGTGTGGCGGCCGGCGTCCGTCCGGGGCAGACTCGGCCCAACCGAAACAGGACAGGCGTCCGGGTACCTACACCGGCACGGGTAGAGCGCTCTGCGCCCTGCTCTCTGCGCTCGGAGTTTCTTCGCAGGATTATTCCGCTGCGGAGGTGACAGAAAGTAATTGCTCGGCCAGCCGTTGGGGTTTTAATTAACGGGCCATGCTTATCACACATTAGCCCAGTGCGTTGTGGGTCTGCCTTTCCGCCCTACCCCACCCCACCCCGCCCCGCCCCGCCCTGTCACAGCCCGCCCCGCACCACCCCCGCGGCCGCCGTGGCGTCTCCGTCTCTCTCTCACTCGGCGAGGCCCCCTTGACGAGGGCGCCGCACAGCGGGCCAGAAGGCCGGCGGAGGCGAACAAAACTCTAGACGCGTTTTGAGCTCCAGAGTCGCCAAATGGGACTCGAACCGAACGTGTGACCCCACCTATGGATTGCTCTCCGAACGAGGAATCCATTGGTGGGGTCACACGTTCGGTTCGAGGCCTACTTAGCGGCTCTGGAGCTCAAAACGCGTCTAGAGTTTTGTCCGCCTCCACCGGCCTTCTGGCCCACTGTGCGCCGAGGCGCCGCGTCGTGCGGGGTGTGGCAGGGCGGGGCGGGGCGCTCTGGCAGGGGAGGACGGAGAGGCTGTGGGTGGTCCGGGAGGATTCCGGTAGTCCGGGGGGCGTCAAGGTAATCTCAGCCCGTTGCGTAAATAACGGACGGCACTGCCACTCGGTCCGGTACACCGTACACACCGTACACACAGTGGACCACGCCTTGCCACGCGGAAGCACGTCGTCCTGTAGCATCTGGCATTGTCCGCGTGCCTAATGCCCCGCGCGTGCCACTGCCGCACTACCCGCGCACTGCCTGTCTCTCTCGCACCCCTACGGCACTCTTCATGAGTGCGAGAGAGGCGGGAACCCCCACGGCCGGACGCGGCGAGACCAAGGAAGCACCTCGTTCCTTATTCGGCCCAATTCGTTTGATCTTGACCGGCCGCGGCCGCGGGGTGACTCTGCAGGCCTTGGGGTGCAGCAGGCTGATTCCGAGAGCCGTTTTCGTCGCTCTGTCTCTCTCGCACTCATGGGGCGCTCCCTGTAGGTGCGAGAGAGACGGCTCCCGGAATCGGACTGGTGTTAAAAGAGCGTTAGGAATGCAAGCCCAATGCACGCAATCGAGTGGCCGGCCGTCTGCGCCGTCTGGGTACCCCGTCGGCACATTGACTCGCCCTGTCTGGGTACCCCGTCGGCACATTGACTCGCCCTCTCTCTCTCTCGCACCCCTACGGCACGCCCCGTGAGCGCGAGAGAGACAGAGCGACTGTTCGGATTGAGCCTCAGGCAGTGTGCTCACGCTAGCGCGAGGCACGCGCCGTGAGTTACATTGGTGTTCCTCTTCCAGCGCTTCCAGCCGCCAATCGCAGCGCGCTTTCGCTTTCTTGAACGCAGCGCGCAGTGCGCAGTGCGGGTGGCTGAACCTGGCGCGGCCAGCCTCAGCAGACCGATTCCGAGAGTCGCTTTCGTCGCTCTGTCTCCCTCGCACTCATGGGTCGTCCCGCACAGGAGCGAGAGAGACAGCGGCGAAAACGGCTCTCGGAATCGGTCTGCGGGCCTGACGTAAAACAGGTGTTCTGTCATTGTTTGCCGGCTAAGCGCGGTGAGCATTGACGCGGTTCATGTTGTTCGGGCCAGCGGGCAAATAAGGCCTCGCTTGGAAACAGCTGCAGTGGAGGCGACTCGTCGCTAGACGTCGCTAGACGTCGCAAAACCCGAAATAGAAATAGACGAAATGAGTGGAGGCCTCGGTCGAGTCGAGGCCGTGCGAGAGGTGCTGAAACTCTGCGCCTTCGCCCTGCCGCCTGCGGGTGGAGGGACTTCAGCATCATTGCTCGCGACATTTTCCCGCGCTCGTAAAATTAAAATTATCGCGGCGATCATCGTCAACGGGGAATCCCGCGCAATACGACTCGAGTGGTGGCAATTTTTCGCGTCGTTTCTGCTTCCCTGTTCTGTCGTTGCCCCGCCATAACAGTCTCTTCTAATTGGTGCGTCGCTCTCGTCCACGCGTCCACGCACTGCACCGGGAGTGGGGGCAGCAGGTCGAGGGTGCGATATTGCGCGCGGGCTGTTCGTTTATATCCAGGAGCGCATTTTCCAGCCGGACGGGCCAAGTGGATTCCAAACGCCCATTCATCAAGTTAGATTGAGAGAGGGGGGGGGGGGTCTGCACCTGCACTTCCCAAAGAGGCAGGAATTTCCGCGCCTGCAGTAGGGCTTTGGCCTGCAGCGCTGTCTACTCGCTCTGCCTCCCTCGCACTCATGGAGCGTCCCGTATAGGTGCGAGAGAGACAGAGCGACGAAAGCAGTGCTCGGCATCAACCTGCAGGCGCCGCCTTTGTCCCTCCACGGTGCCGCGCTGCCGGTGAGGAGCGGCCTCTTCAGCTACTTCAGTCGGATCTGCAACGAACGCAGCACTCGTGGCTCCACGCGTTTTACTTTTGCAAACCCACCGTAAAAACGCACCCCCTTTTTTTTTAAATAAAAGACTCGTGGCATGAGGGGCAGTTTCCGCCCGGAAAAGATTTAGTCGTGAGTGAGTGGTGCATGTCTGTGATGATGTATGCAGCTCTATGTGTAAGAAGGCCTTCCCCTCTTTGTGTACGTACTCTGGAACCAACTTCGCAAAGCACCGCTGCCGAGGGGGAAACGACTGAGAAATTTTGTGTACATCGGATAGGGATAACCCCGGATAACCCGCGGATTACCTCCGGATTACATCTAAAAATTTCCAGGATTACAGTGGATACGCCGGTTCCACCGGATTACCTCGAATTTCCCGGATTACCCGGATTACCTCAGAATTTCCACGGATTACTTCGAAATTTCTGGTTATCCGGATAGCGGATAACCAATTTGCTGTACATCGGATAACCGAAGTCGTTTCCCCCTCGACCGCTGCAATGAACGCGGCGAGAGCGCGCAGTGCCGTCCCGCTTTGAACCGCCCAGGCTGGAAACGCACCTCACAGCCGAAAATAAAAGTGAGAGAAAGAAAACAGCGCGGAGCTCTGTGCATGTGCGGCCGCCTGAAGGTAGGCAAAAATGCCACACCAAAGCGTTGCGGGCTAGCCTACCCGCCCCCCTGCCGAGCCCCTTGTAGGTAGGCAACGGTGCCACACCAAAGCGTTGCGGGCTGGCCCAACCGGCACGGCGTTGTGCGCACCTGCGGCGCAGTTTCTATTGCAATGGTGAATGGGAAATGGAATGTAACATGCCTGTTTAGTATCACAGCTATGTTTTATTGATGAACAATCAACAATGAGTAAAACAGACGTATTTGCTGAGATTACTGACAATAAATTATAGCTTCATACCAATGAATGTTGATCTACTCCTAAGAAAAAAATTGAACATAGACTCTTTATCACAGCTAAAATGTATGTCAACGAAAATGACTAGATTGTTTTTTGGTTGAGAAAGATGGTATGAGAACAGGAACAGTATGTTCATACCACAAAAATGTTAAATGAGAAGACAAAGACTTTGGCTTATAACATGAAAAGATTATAATAAAGTAAAAAGTCTCAAAAACGTTAAAATACTTTGAGCTGGTTACTTACACTAAATCAAATACTGATAACAAGATACCAACTCTCAAAGTTTATTACTGAATAAAATAGATCAGTCACTACAACCAAGAGTTTGGTACCCAGGAATGCGAATATATCCATCACGAAACACTGTAGTCTGATTGGCTATGTTCATTGAAAGTAAGAGAAGTTTTTCAGCTGATAATGGATGCCATACGCCAAACGTACATGACATATCATCTACATGATCGTAGTAATGGCAACGTTTTGTCATGCGAAAGGAAGGAATAAATTCAAACATATCCACATGGGTGCAGTGAGGAAGAAGAAGTGCTAACCCTGTAAAAGCCATAAAATAATTTAGTTAGACGTTTTGAATAGTTTATTTAAACATCGTGCCTATTGAAACTGTATAAACCCACCGAGAAATCCAGATGATGGGGGATTGCGCCTGACCCGAAGAGGCATCAGAGCTTGAATATAATCCCAAAGATCCCATAAAGATGATGGGTTCAGGAGAAACGAGGGTGTGTCGGGATTCAAAGATCGATGTTTGAAATAAGAAGTGAATATGTCATGGTCCGGATTCTTGTACCACTGAAAAAGAAAATCAATGTAACTAGTACTAATGTTTTAAACTTTACTTTTAATGCTCAAAACAGAAATCTGTGTACCTGGTCCATAGTATGATTGTACTTCGATGGGTCCCATGCAACAATTTTTATGTCCTTGTAGAGTGGTGAATCAAGAAAATTATACTCGGGCTTTGAAACGACTTGAGAATTAACCACTCTTATTGTGGTCTTTTGCCCAACATCAGCTTCATACCCTTCAGTTGGTGCATGGTTGAAGCGTAGGACAACATCATGGTCATCTATAAGAGAGGAAAAAACATGCACTTATACAGCAGTTCAAGTAAGTGTGGTTGACATCAATTACACAAGTACTTAAATAATTTACCAATGGTTCTTCCAAGATCAGATCCATGAAGTGACCCTGCACTACTTACAACAGCACAACTCTCATAAATTTGATCATCCCCAAATAATGGCTGTTGAGGGAAACTGTCTCCCAGATCCATAGACTTAAATGGTTCATCATCCTTCACAACAGTTCGCACAATGCCAGATTTTTTAAGGGCACACACAAGTTCTCGAGCAGTCTTTTTGTCATACGACCCCCTTGGGCCAAGGTATTCAACATTATAAGGGTTGCTTCCTTCCCCTCTCGCTTTGAAAACACTGCTTTCATCATGCAGTACTCGACGCAACTGAATCATCAAATGGCTCTTGTGTTTCGAAATTTTCTCCATTAATTTGCTATTAGGCCTTTCTGTGTGGGTGGTCAAAGAAGTTTTGGCTCCTTTCTTCTTATCTTCAGAATTTTCATGCCTATCTCGAGCTAAGGGTGATGCACGTGCTTTGCGTGCCAGGTCGTCTTTGATTGGGCTGTCCAGTAATTTCTTAGCATGATCCAAATGATTTTCTGCCTCTGTATAATACTGGATGTGATGTTGGCCAATATTGCTTTTCTTGTTGGTGTATGCATCCATAAAAGCATGTCTACGCTCTACGTAACCCCAATATTGGGAGCAGAGTATATAAAAGAAGCCACACATGCCAAGAAAAACAAAATTTATGAACACCCATACTGACCAAGCTATTGCTCTCATTTTAATTCAATCCCAGGAACTCTTTCAAAAAGAAGTAATGACAGTGGAGATGGTCCAGCCAGCTACCAAATCAATATATGCCAACATGCTTACAGGAGCACTTCCAAGCTGACTTATCAGAAGCACTTAAGAAACACCTTTAAAAATTGAAAGGGGTTTATTTCACTACTTTAAGGTCCCTTCAAAGTCTATGATTAAATTCGAATTTTGACTAGGTGCCTGTCAGAGGTGCTGCAGACGACAGATGAGATGCAGACGACTTTTCATGGCTGTGAATACTGACCTGCGAATAGCAGTGGTAGTTGTTTACACGGCGTGTTTGGGCAATAAGAGGTTAGGTTTCGCATCGCGCATGTGTTTTTTTGAAAAACAAGTAGGGGGAATATTGACATAACTCTCTGGGCAAACTAAGAAATTGATATGTCTCCCTCGACTTCATCAGAAGCTGTTGAAGACCAGAAGCTCAGACCTTTCTTCTGTGAATTGGATGTTTTGAGTAGACCTGATGGAAGTGCCATAGTATCTCAAGGTACAGTATATTTGAAAGCACTTTTTGTGGTCCTAATTCACTTATTTATTTATTGCCTATCAAAAAATAATTATTCTTTTATGGACATTTTCAGGCGACACTACTGCTATTGCAGGTGTTTATGGACCCATTGAGGCGAAACCGAACAAAACTTACATTGAAAAAGCTGCTATTGAGGCAATTTATAGACCGAAAAGTGGACTACCATGTAAGTTCGTGTTCTATAATATAAAAAATGTCACCACATTTTTACTTGCAAACCAAGCAAAAACTCAATGTGGCTCCTTTTACTTTTTTTTAGGTGTCCCAGATCGAATGAGTGAAAGTACACTGCAGCATACATTTGAAGCTGCTATACTAACCACAGCACATCCCCGGACACTCATAACTATTTCTATACAGGAGATGCAGGATTCTGGTGGTGTAAGTTCTTCAGGAATACAGTCCTTATAATCCCCTCAGAATAATAATAATCAAATTTTGAGACTTACACTGGTATTATTTTCTAGCTATTAGCCTGTGCTATAAATGCAGGATGCCTGGCCATAATGAACTCTGGGCTGCCTATGAGATTTCTAGTTGCTGCTGTTAACTGCATGATCCATGAAAATGGAGACATCATTTTGGATCCTGATGAAAAACAGCTCAAGGTAGGTTGCTAGCTTAAGATTACAAATTCTTAAAAAGTACAAACTGTCATTTTTAAATGATATTTTTTTTTCCAGGAATCCTGTGCAGTTATGACATTTGCCTTTGATAATGTAAATAAGAATATTGTGTCATCCAGCACGGATGGCAGTTTTTCTGAGACTCAGTACCAAGAAGCTATTCTTAAGTGCCGCTCAGCGTGTGATGAAATTTTCCAGTTGTATCGTGATATAGTAAAAAAATATGCTCCCTCAATGGGCTAGCATACTGTTTTTGTTTTATTATTATTATTTGCAATTGAACTCAAAATTTTCTTGATGTAATTGACAACTATTGCTGTTATGCTTAGCTCCCAATTATAAGCCTATTTTAGTCTTGAAATAATTTAATTTTCTGTCACCTGACGTGGCAACAATTAGGAGAGCCCACCCTTCCCCACTGCTTCTGCTTCAACAATGTCTAACCAGTAGGGTGGGGGTGGTAGTGGCACCAGGTCCACCAGGTGGTACTTGGAGGCAGTCCCAGCATGTCTCTGATTTGCGAGGAGTCGCACCTCTGCTTCGGCGCGGAGGCCGACACCTCACAAGGCCACAGGACTTCCCCGTCACACCTGTGCTTTGGGCGGCGGTACCGGCCGCAGCTCGACGCCCTGGAGGCATGCGCCGTGGCCTCGGTGGTGCAGGACGCGGTGCACCAGCTCGCCATCCTGGGCAAGGGCCTGCCCGGCCTGCCCAGCCAGCCTCCGGGCGACCACGGCGCGGGCGGCGCGGGCGAACCCTTCGACGAGTCCTTCCGCAACGTGGACGCGCGCTTCGGCCGGCCGCCGCCGTCGGCGAGGATGTTCCCTGAGATGGCGGGCCGGTGGTCCCCGCGCACCACGGCCATGCTCAGGGTGCAGCGCCACCGGTATGGCCAGCGCCAGCGGCTAGGCAGACTCATTCCGAGAGTCGTTTGCATCGCTCTGTCTCTCTCGCACTCATGGGGCGTTCCAAGGTGACAGAGCGACGAAAAGGACTCTCGGACCCAGTCACCCCTTAGTCCAGTGTGGGCGTTCTGTAACCGCCAGGACCCTTTGCGCAGAGGGTTCGCCGAGAGCGTGCTGGACGAGGTGCTAACGGAGCTGCACCAGAAAGGCAGCTTCGGCTCCCTGCGCGTCGCCATAGACTGGCAGAGCGCGGCCATGGCGGACTCTGACCGACTGATCGAGCAGCACAGAGAAGGACTCGACAAGAGGAGGCGGCTCGCCCAAGAGATTGCCAGGGACCGCACCAACATGCTCAAGCAGTACACCTTTTGGGAGGAGAAAACAGAGCTCCTCACGGTTGGTGGCTTCGGAACCTTTACGTCACAGAGTTTTGCTTTTCTCCAGGCTCGAATTCTTTGTCATTTCTTGTGCCTTGCTGTAGACCAACTTGCACGACACATACCTTCTAGATGGGCTCACCATCTCTCATGCACATGCCTGGGAACATAACAGGCGAGAGCAGCAGGGCTTAGTTCTAGGGCGTAAAGAGGATGCTCTCCATGAGGCTATTAATAAACTTCAAGATCCTGATGGTCCAAATGAAGAACGAGTCCATGCAGAAATCATGAAATTTCTAGCCAGAGATATTGAGGTTGGTTCAGCACTGAATTACAGGTATCAAGCATTAAGGACAATTGTTGAGTTAGTTTTGTCCGTCATTAGATAGTGAAGAAAGACCTAGATCATTGGACCGACTTGTATGATGCTGAAATGATACATCGTGAAACTGAAAATATGCAACTGCGAAATGCTCTCGAGCAACAAAAGGAAGAACACAGAGAACTTAAGGAAGAAGTATGCCATGTCAAAGATATTCCCTTAGACCAAAAGATTAACAAAGTAGTAATTGTCTTGTTTTTGCCGTTTCCCTTAGGCATGGCAACAACAGCAAATTATTAACAATTCTGCTGCAATACGAGCCGCATATGAGGCAAAGAAAAAAGTTCTATCCAGTGTTGTTGCTATCCAGGCATGGTGGAGAGGAGTCAGTTTCAGAGCTGGGATATCAGTTGGCAAGTCCAAAAAGGGAAAGAAAGGAAAGAAAAAGAGAAAAGGCAAAAAGAAAAAGAAGAAGGTTTCAAAAACTACAACAAAACCAAAGAAGTAACTTACGAAAAATCGCTCCAAGGTATGCATGCCAAACCAAGCAATTCAAATAAAGACACAACAGGTATTAAGAACACAAATAACTTCCATGTATTCATTCAAATTGCACAAATGGTTAAATCTGTCATGAAAAACATTCAGTGGTCAAAACACGTGGAATGCACTTTTCTTTTACTTTGCACTGCCTATTCATAATCAATCAACTCCGTTTCACAATACTGTTGAAAAGCCACTTAGACTGGAGAAAAAATAAAGGGCTTCGTGCACCCATAACAAAAATAAATAAGGTAACATTTCTCTTCCATGTTATATCCGACGAGGTTGTGCAACAATAAAATGCTAAAAATTCATGCCAATATACAAACAGAAATGCATGGCCATCAACAAGATAAAAATGACCTAGTTGGTGGTCATCCAATATCATCCAATATCCAACCATTGTGGTTAACAACATGGATTATAACAAATAAGACAGAGTATATACATCACAGTGAGTTTTTCCTTCAAGAAATCAGTAAGTCATTCTGTTAACACTTCAATTAAAAATGCAAAAACAGTAACATTCAATCATTGGCTCAAACAACTAAAATAATTATCACTTTAGTAGTAGAAAAATACACTTCCTTTGCATTTTAAAACTACATATTTGTTAGTTTGGGGCTTGTTAGTTTGGGGCTTGCAGGTGATCTCCACAAACCACACAAGAAAAATATGCTAGTTCCGTATTACTCTTCAGTTTTAGAAAAGGGGGAGTCAGATCATTTCTTCCTATGGTCAAAGAATTGATGAGATTTTGTTGTGAAAGAAAAGGGGGCAGCTACTGAATTAAAATAATTATGACAATTCCTTTTGTTTTTACAACAATGGCAAAATACAATGATAGCAAAAACAAAAAGTTTATTTTCAACTAGGCATTCTGTTACTCTCCTGGTAGAAAACTGCACACAGTGCGAGAAAAGTTGCAACCCCTAAAAATCTGACACAGCAGTTATACACTGACATCTACAACATCATATGAAGTACAATTCACTGCTATCACATTTCAAAGAGTCTTACATCTTCTTTTTCACAAAAATGTAATTACTAACCCACTTTAAAATTACTTTATTAAACCAAGCCGTTCCATTTCTTCAATAACCCCCGACAGTCTTTGACGAGTCTTCTTGTTATTTTGACAAGCACATTGAATCAGTGTTTGAAGATGTTTGCTTGAATATTGCTGGAAAAAATGATTTAAAGCATTTATTTGGAGGGTGAAAGCAATCAAAATTATAACAGCTTTTTTATACATTAGATGCTCACTGTATGCTCACGAATCCACTTCTCCAATTGCTCTTCTGGTATGTAATAAGCTTTAACATACAGCTCTACATATTCTTTATGGGGAATTGGCCTTAATGTGGTGAGCTTTTCAAGCTTAGAGATGAATTGGGTAAAGTCAAGCTGCATTAAAGCCCGGCCTCCAGTTGCACATTTCTTTGCATTGGAAAAGCTGAACAGAAAATAAAAATTATCATTTGTTTACATTAAGTCCCAACAATGGGCTCTGATCACAATGTCTTACCCTTCGACAAATGTACTGCAGCAAACAATAACAAGAGCTTCCCACAAAGTATTGTGTACGTCTTTGGAAATAAATAGGTGAGAAGCAGCTTCCTCCAGACGCATGCTAAAAATTTGCATATCCTAAGAAATTTTTAAAAATAAAGTCAGTTAATTAATAATGGTGGTTTGGGTGAAACTCTAGTCAAGCCCTGTCAAGCTGTTTACTTACTCTTAACACAGAATCCACATAGGGACTATGCTGACTTGAAACCTCTTTTATCTCCCAGTTGACACGTGCCATCATGTTTAACATAGTACGTAAATCAAGTGCTCTCCCAGATATGCAGGCATATACAGGCAACCGTAAATCTGATGCCACACTAACCATCTGAGATGAAAATTAATTTTGAAATCAGAGTTGTAACAGAAAAACAATCCAGTGAAATAATCTCAGTTATACCTGTAAATAAAACTGTTGAATATAATGTTTCCTAGGCTCATGACGAACCAAATGCTCCAGGTAAGGTCTAATAGAGTCCAATTGATCTGCTAAAAATACAAGGGATTCCACTGCTACTACACGCTCTGATAATCCAAATAGGCTTTCCGGATCATTGATGTTGACTATAGGTGATATATGAGGCTGCGGTACCTAGACATAAAATTCAAAATGTTTTGAGAGCCATCACTAACATATCTTATCTTATCTAAAAAAATATACAGTATAAGTCAGAGTACTTTTTTCTTATCATCTTGATTGATTTGCACCATGGCACTTGGTTGTTTCTCAGGTCGAATTAATTCAGCATTAATCCGTTTCAAAGCTGCTTGGAGCTTCACACTATACAGATTTGGTTGGCTCACAGCCTAAAAGTATGGAGAAATTTAGAAACATAAGATTAGTTACTACTCAATCAAGAAGCATTTATAAAAAATTTTTATTGATTAACAAATTTTAATTGAACTTACAAGATCGGTGGTGAAAAAAGCATGGACAGCATACAAGTAATACTGGAAGAGCTGAGATAAACATATTATGACATCCATGGCAACTGTACGTAAAAGTCTGCTCATTTGCAAATATTTTCCACAATGTCGTAGGACAGTTAATGTTGTGTTTGTTAGGAGCGGTCCCTTGGGCAGAGAAGAGCGACCTTTGCTTCGAGTTACTCTGGAATAAAGAAGTATGTGAAACTCTTGAAGTTAAAAGCAACATGAATTATAAAAAGCATAGACTCTAAATGTAAAGAAGAATGGATAAAAAAATTGACAAACAGCAGGAAGCATAAGAAAGATGATTACAACTGGTTACTTGGTCAACACAACATGCACATCCAAAATATTACTGAGTGAGAAAATTCTAACAGGAACACAACTCACTTTTTTTGTTCAAACCGTACACGCCCACAGTTCTCAAACCGAACTGCAACCTGGCTGTTAAGAGCAAGTATAATGAAAGATTTTGTGGACAAAAGGTATTCAACAACGAACCAAACCCTAGTCAACGCCAATATATCATTATAAACCGATTTGCTGTGCAAGCATTGAATTGAGTCAAGAGGATATGCAATTCAAGAGGAAGCATTGCCCGGAGAATAGGTGACTGATACTAATAAAATGTACACAAAAAGGCAACACAAACCTGGTGTGAACAGAAGGATCGCCATGCCCTTCATCGACAAAATCTCCTTTCAGTTCCTCTGGCACTTCTTCATCACTGTCATCACTAAAGTAGCCCGAAGCTTCATCCTAGGTTTACAAAAGACCCAGGCTTGTGAGGATTTTACACGATTTTGAGACAAACATGGTCCAAGTAACAAACACTTACGGAAATATTTGCTAAAATATCTTCTTCTTGTAGGTCAAAATTAGCTAAATCAAAAGGTGTGCCAGACTCTGAAAATCGTGAAAAGTATCCGCCAGCAACTGAATTGCTATCCTGTGACTGATTGCTACTATCAGGGCTCTGCTGAAGCTTTTGCTGTTCATGAAGACCAATATTTTGAATGACACCTCGTAGGGAACGAAATTCTTGAAGCTGAAGGCAGGTGAAGTCACTTTTTACTGGGCAGTGTGTCCAGCTTTCATTTTCCAAAAATATGCGAAGTTCTTCCAAGCATCCAGCATGGTACTTAGCAAAATAGTTTTCACTCTGCAGTCTCACAGACTTCTGCAGTTCTTCTGACTGGCTTCCACAGAACTCCTCTCCAACTTCCATTAACCTAAACAATTTAGAAGGAGAACATAATTAAATTTTAAACAAAACTTGTCACTGGTTTTTTATACTAGGCAAGGGGTAACTTCTAATAGAATTCCAATCATACCTGTGCACAAAGCCCAAAACTTGCAAAAAATTATCAAATTTGAATGAGGCTAGATCAGTTGAGAAAAGATAGGTTGAGAAGCGAGCTTGAACATCTTGCCATATTCTTGCTTGCATACTCTCCAACTTCTGTCGAATGTATTCATTTGTGAAACTGACTTCCAAATCAGCGCCTTTGTCTTAAAGAAAAACAAACAATACAAATCACAAAAAAAGCTGATATATGTCCCAACGAATATCCCTGATAAAAATATAAAAATACAATGATTGTAACAATGCTTACTTGTGCCCTTGTCAACAGTATGCTTCTGGTGCCATAATGCCACTCTATGATGACTGCAAACAATTCTCCATAAACTTGAGCATAATTCTTGAAGACAAGGAATGAAATTTTCTTCCTTCACTTTCTAATGACAAGAGGCAACAATGATAAATTTTTATGAGGAGGATTACCTCCTCCTACCTCCTCCAGGAAACCAGATAGAGGATGAATATGATTTTAAAAATATACTAACTTTACACAGCTCGTTGTACTGCTTTCCACTGGTAGCAACAACGGATTCAGATTTACCTACAAAACTCTTGATGACCTTCAAGGCTGTATTTTGAATGGCTGAAGTGAAGTGCATGTGTAATTGATCCATAGCAGCTTGAGTTTTGCCTAATAATGCATAAGCTGCCTGCAGTTGTCCATATAATGTTTCATCAAACTTCTCACAAATCTGTTCAATCACAATAAAAGATATTTTTTAACATTGTTTTTGGTAATACAGTAGCTTGTTAAAATATTTATGGAGTGTTTGTTTGAAGTCTTACCTTTCCTAGAGCTACATCTAACTGTTCTTCGGTCATCACCAAAGTGTCAACAAGTTTTCCACTGAGAGCGGCCACACATGCAAAGCGTTTGAGTGAAGTAGCAGCAGATTGACACTCAAGTAGTTCACTTATGGCATCTTCATATCTGCTCTCACTCAATAGAACCTGAATATGCTCTTCTGAGCGTTGCTGGAAAGAAATAATATTTAGAGTATACAAGATAGTTTTCCCTCTGTAAGCATCAGCTGCAAGTAACAAAAAAAAAATTACTCACCAGTGTTTTGATGGTATTTAATGAATGCAATATTCCCCGTAGTAACTGTCTCTTGCGGTAGTTTGCGAGTATTCCTAAACTTGTAGTTGTTAGCTGTTGTTTGCCTGTATTGAGTTTTGATCTGCCATCTCGGCAGATGGATAAGGTCTCACGTAATATAGATTGCAGATTCTGAATCCTTGTCAAGTCGAGAAAAAAAGAATAATGGTTATAACCGGTGGCAGATGACAATGAATCTTATTAGTCAAGTATTAATACCTTTCAAATTCTTCATTACATGCTCTTTGATTTGTCAGTATTTGAGATAAGACTTTCTTGGATACAACTTTCTGCTGCCTGTGCAGTCGCTCTGAATGGCTTAAAATTTCATCACAAATTAATGTCTCGCCTATTTTCTACAAAAAAAAAAAGAAATTGGAATTTGTTACTAAATTTTGAATGTTTAATTTACATATAATTTCTCCCAGAGTTTGCAAACCTTCAATTCATGTCTACTTGGGTCAAAATCGAGTTCTTTGAAATATTCTTTTTCCACGGATTCCAATATTTCATCATCTGATAAAATTTCTGCCGGCTCTTCTGGAGGTTTCACATCTTCTTTAGAGGGGGTGGATACAAATCCTTCATTCGAAATTGGTTTCAAAACTTCTTCAGACGGACTGCTCAATGATAATCGTGATTGATTACCCTGCAACATAGCAAAATTGCGTACACATAATTTTTTTAAAAAAGCCCAAAAAAATGTGTCGTGTTGTAAGACAAAAATTGAAATCAAACTTTTATTGAAATATTATAAATTATTTATATCTACTAGAATACTTCAAAACTAGACCACTCAAAATAAATGTACAAAATGGTCATGTTCCGAAGACCATATGGCTACAGGCTTGGTGGAATAAATAAAGACGTTGAGAAAAGAAAAAGAAAATGTGAGATCGATTACAAAGTAGGACTCTTAGTATTTATACTACAAGATAGTTGAAGTTTTGACAAGTGACAACTAACCAACTTATTGAGGAGACCAGAAAACTTTTGCTTGAAGTCTCCCATTACTGCCATTGTACAAACACTGCTTGGCACTAAACCTCAAGCTGCATTTTATCAATAATTTTGTCCCTGTTCGAACTTTACTGCAGTCTTCACAAGGATTGACATCACCAAAAGAGAGCACAACAGAACCTAACCATAAAAGTTGTTTTGAAACAGACTGTGTGAGTACCACGTGACCTCCCCCTTCCCCTCCCCCCAAATCGTCTGCTGCTGATTCGCGGCAAATTTGAACGCACCGGCTACACCTGATACCACCCCTCATTTACAGCCACTAACGTAGTCTTCCGCTTGGTATTTTTTCCGCAAATAAGTTGGAAACAATGTTGGGTCGTTCATTGTATCAATGAATGGAAGCACATATCTTTGGAAATGCTGTTAAGCTTCTACAGCGCGAAATGGGCCTCTTGGATGGGTCGAAAAGGGAGAAAGAAAGACATTTTTCGATCCATCATCACAGCAGGTGACAGGCCCATGGCTTTCGGTTTTCCGATTGCCTTTCTGCTTCTCTTTCGTTGGGCCTGTCAAAGGCTTTCTCATTTTTTTCCTGTCACTCCCATCCGCTTCGCTGGACATCATTTTCTATTTTCTATTTTATTTTCGATTCGTCCTTCACCCCGCAACTGTATTTTCCGATGTTTTCGAAATAAATCTGAAAAGAGCGGCAGATGGACAACGTGTTAGTATGCAAGTTAGAGTGTAGCAATTAATAGAGCACGCAGCAGATTTTTTTTTAATGTAAAAGGAAGAAGTGCGAATTTATGGGGATTGCAATTTGCATGCAAATGAGGTCCTTCTTTTTTTTTATTCCTCTGTCCGTGTCTGCTGAGGGTGGTGCCCGCCTGGCCTAGCCTGGCTGGGCTGACATGTCATGCAGACACTTCCATTTCCTGGAGCAGAAGGGGGCGATACGCCAGCACGCGCGCGGGGCGGGGCGGGGCGGGGCGCACTGCATCGCCAAAGTTGCGCCCCCGCCCCTGCCCATTTCCCCGTGCAGCATTCGAAACAAGAACAAGCCGTCGGAGAGCTGCGAGGCTTGCGAGGGGACGGCCAGCAGGCTGATTCCGAACAAAGCTTTCGTCGCTCCCCTTCGCCTCTTCGCAACGCCCCACGCCCAATGAGTGCGAGAGAGACAGCGACGAAGCACTGTTCGGAATGAGACTGCAGGGACTCGAGACGACCCAGGTGCCCTGCCCCGGCCCTGCCGGCCTTCCAAGGGAAATCCCACACGCCCGCGCACCGCGCACGCCCTTCCCTTCCCTCCACACCGACGACACCCCTACACCGTAACCGTGCTCAAATCCCCGGAGGCGCCTAGGAGGCACCTTGCCGCCGTGCCGCCCAGCGGAAGGACACCTGCGGGATCTCTTTCGAGAAGAGGCCCTGCACGGTACGGTTGCACGCAAGGCGACGCAGGGCCATTCCCAGGGGCAGGGTAGGCCACCGTCTCCGCACCTGTGCGTCGCGGGCCGGGGTGGTTGCCTGTCTGTCGGGCGCTGCAGAGGCCACGCATTTTGACAACCAACGTGCGGTTACCTCTTGCCGTGCGGGTAGGCTCAGGCATTCTGCACTCTAAGGGGGGGAGGGGTTTGAACAGTCTTGCGTAGTGGATTAATGCCGGTTCCATGCCCAATTAGCACCCGGATGAAGCTTCATTCAACCCACAGCTTTGGATCGGTGACTTCGGCTACGACAACCATCAAGTCTCCGCCTCGGTCTCCGCCTCGGTCTCCGCCCACCAAACTAGTTCGAAAATTTTGGTCGAGGGGCTGCCCATGTTTTTCTTCCCCACTTTGTGCACTTCGTACGCTTCGTGCGTTCGTGCGCTTCGTGGGCGTAACTTGGCTTGAATCGGGCGCCGAGCCATGGCGAGCCGCGCCAGTTGGGGTTCACGGCGGGGCGGCCAGGCAGGCAGGCAGCAGCGCGAGCGCGAGCGCGCTCTGGCGGCAAGTCAGTGGACGGCTGGCCGCCGAACAAGGAAGTTCTTGTGTCGCCAGAGATAAGGTTAGGGGCGAGTTTGTTGTCATTTCGCGGGGTCGCGCTGTGAATGTCACCGGCCGGCCGTGTGTGGTGATTCGGCCTTCCCCACTGCTGCTTCCCCCGCGGATTCGGCCGGCCTGGGTCCGCCCGGACGGCCAGGACGCTGGCGGGGCGCGAGACTGGATGTGTTGTGCAGCACACAGAGGAGGCCCTCTCCGACTTGAAGTGGTGACGCGAGCGGTGCAGCGTCGACATGTCATAATCGACATGACGGGCATTGTCTCGCCCTGACTGCGGGCGCGGCGAGGTGTGGAAACGTCCTCCCGGCTGCGCGCGGCGCCGCGAGGAGAGCAACGCTTGGAGGTTATGGTCGCCCAGTGTAGCAGGAGCATCAACATCGACATTCCTGGCCCTCGTCGCGGCGGCGGCAGGGGCGGCAGCAGCAGACTGGTAAATATTGATAGCTCGGCCGTGTTCTTGTCGTGTCTGCCGGCACTTGCTGTTCTTTGTCCACTCTGCTTTTGTTATTTGGCGTTAATTATCCATCTTCGCTCTGTCTCTCCGGGAGCCGTGTTTACTTTTAACCCCCTCCCCCCCTTTCCAGCTGCCCCTTCCTCATGGGGTGAGTGCCTCTCTTTGTGTGCGCGCCTAATTGATAGTTCTAGACGAGGGGAGGGGTGGGGGGCGCCGGTCCCGGGGACCTATTAATTTTCTGGTAAAATAGGCATCAGGTGCCTCGAGCGCTGCCAGGCCGCCTGGGGGCCTTCTCACACAAAGAAGGAGGCCCGTGGCGCCCGTGGCCCAAGGGGGGGGGGAGTGGAGGGGGAATTCCAGACAGGCATTTCTCGACGCCTATCAGGTGTAGCGTATGAGAGCGTGGCGCCAGGGGAGAACTACGAGTCTGCCCCGCCGTGCGACGGGTTGCCAACAGTGCGGGGGTGTTCCGAGACGCGCTGCGCCCCCGACGCCCCCGCAGCCCCGCAGTGTGCGTGCTATTTTGGCCGCACCTGCCTGGAGCACCCTTTGTGGCTGCCGTGTCGATTTCACGCTCACAGCCTGATGCATTATGCACCTCCCCGTTGCGCGACGTTCGCTGGCGGCCGGGGCTTTGGGCTTTGTTGCGGGGCGGGGCGGGGGCGCGGGGGATGGGCGACGGGGTTGCAGTGAAAGCCCGGATTGCCCAGCTGTGGCCAGCAGAACAAAACCTGGCCGGTGGCTGCCGCCTGCCTCCCCGCCCGCGCCATCCGTCGTCCGGCACCCCCCGCCTCGCCCCACCTGCACCCAGCGGGGGCTGCGGGGGCTCGTTATGCGGATTACGGCCCGGTCTAAATACGAGACAAGCCGCAGGGATGATCCTGAGACTGGCCGGCAAACGGGCCGGCGCACAGTGGGCCAGAAGACCGGTGAAGGCGGTCCAATTCCCGGACGCGTTTTGAGCTCCAGAGTCGCTCGAACCGAACGTGTGACCCCACCAATGGATTGCTCTCCGAACGAGGAATCCATTGGTGGGGTCACAAGCTCGGTTGGAATCATCCTGGCCCCCCTCAGGGCCTCGGCCTCGATGACGACGGACTTGTGGAGCCTCGGCCGCGCGCGGTCCTGGGGCAGCACACTGATTCCGAGAGTCGTTTCCGTCGCTCTGTCTCTCTCGCACTCATGGGGTAGCCCGCCCAGGTGCGAGAGAGACACAGCGACGAGAACGACTCTCGGAATGAGTCTGCTGGAGGGCGCTGGACGGTGCCCTTTTGGTCCGAACAACCGGTCCATGGTCCACCCAACCCACGCTACGCCACGCTACGCCAGCCCAGCCAGGTCGAGCGCCAGCTGCCCCGGAGTGCGGCGGAGCGGCGCGGGGAGATACCGCTCCCCCTCATCTCCCATCCCATCTTCCCGTCCCAGTCTCCAGCAGCGTGGCATCGTCGTCCACGGCGTCGTCGTGCTGCTTCACCGGCCGCGCCGCCTAGCCGCACCGCCCTCCGCTTTCTGTCCGTTTTGTGCCCCCCTCCCCCCCTCGTCCTTGGTCCTTGTCGGCGCGCTCCTTTGGCCAATCACTGCGGGGTTTTGTCGCTCATCACTGATTATAGGAGGTTATTATGTTGATTATTGAAAAATATTGGGGATTATTTGAGCGCCGACCTCGGAAAGCTGTTAAAGTGTCAGAAATTAAATACTGGTGACTTTGGGCAGCCACTGCGTGAAATTTAGTTGCGGTCAAAGGCCTCCCTCGACGCCTTACTATTCTGAAGACCCTACTCTTTTATGCCCCGCCTCGGGAAGGCTTTGACCGCTGATAGTTTGGGAGCAGTGGTCTCGCAAAAATGGTCAAAAAGTGAATGAATTTCAGAAAATCACCGTTTTTGCTGACTTTGAGCGGTCACTGCGTCCAATTTAGTTGCGGTCAAAGGCCTCCCTTGACGCCTTACTATTCTGAAGACCCTACTCTTTCATGCCCCACCTCGGGAAGGCTTTGACCGCTGATAGTTTTGGAGTAGTGGTCTCGCAAAAATGGTCAAAAAGTGAATGAATTTCAGAAAATCACCGTTTTTGCTGACTTTGAGCGGTCACTGCGTCCAATTTAGTTGCGGTCAAAGGCCCCCCTCGACGCCTTACTATTCTGAAGACCCTACTCTTTCATGCCCCGCCTCGGGAAGGCTTTGACCGCTGATAGTTTGGGAGCAGTGGTCTCGCAAAAATGGTCAAAAGTGATTGAATCCCCGAAAGTATGATTGTCATTTCACTGGATGATGTTGATTATTTCACTGATTACCAACTAGAGTCTAGTTACTAGACGTGCAATGATTATCTTGAGTTGGGTACCCCTTGGCTCGCACTGCGTCCGCGCCGAGGCCTAGCGCCGAGGCCTAGCGCCGAGGCCTAGCGCCCGTGCATAGACAGCTCGGTTAGCGTTCCGGAAATGTGGCCAGCACATTCTCTAGCCGCGCCGAGCGCGCTGCCGGGCGCTGCGCTGCAGACTGATTCCGAGAGTCGTCTTCGTCGCTCTGTCTCTCGCGCACTCAAGGGGCATCCCTGAAGGGCGCGAGAGAGACAGAGCGACGGAAACGACTCTCGGAATGAGTCTGCAGCCCTGGCCAGACACGTTGCGCCGCAGTGGCTCCCCACGTGTTGTGCCCCGTCAGCCTTCGGCCCTTCGGCTTGGCCTCGGCGCGCAGACTGCAGGAGGTAGATTATACACGAAGCGATGCAAAATGTAGCGGCGCGGAGGATTGGTGTCCGCCTCTGGACGCCGTATCGAGAACCGAGCTCTCTTCCACTCTGGAGGAAATATTAAATTCATCGAGTCAGTCCCGTCAAGTCGCCGCCTTCGCCGACTTTCTTGTCGGCGCTTCAGGCACAAGCACTGCCTGTGTTCCTGCCGTTGGCTGCACGTTTTGACTGCACTGTCTCTCTCCTTATCTGTCTGCTGCCTTGCCGTGGTGCGATTCCTGGCGGAAATGCAGTTTTTCCTGTGGCACCGTGGCTTGGTGGTTTTTCACAGTGGCCGCCGCACCCTCTTCGTGGGGGGCGACCAGCCTTGCGTCCAGCCGAGCCAGGCCAAGCCAGGCCAAGCCGCCGGCCGATTACGGAAAAGCGGGACGCGTGCCACACCACGTGCACCACGCGCGCGGGCGTGTGTGGCGCACACTGATTCCGAGAGTCGCTTTCGTCGCCCCGTCCCTCTCGCACTCATGGGGCGTCCCGTTCAGGTGCGAGAGAGACACAGCGACGATAACGTCCGTGTGCTGGTGCGTGCCGGTGCGTGCGGCGGAGGGGCGGGAAGCCTGTGGGTGCCGCGAAGGGTGCCGCGGTGGCGCCGCCGTCCGCGAGGCCCTGGCCTGGCCGGCTCGGGTTCGAATCTCCTCGACGGCGGTGACTTTTCCGCTGCACAAACGCGACCCAAGTCGCGTGACCGTCGTGTCGTGATCGTCCGGTCCGCGGCCCGGCGCGCTGTCCTTCCTGTCCGCCGTCATCCACCGCGGCCTCGACGGCCTGCCGAAGCCACGCCTCCGCGCGCCGTGTCATTTTGTCATTTTAGCGCCAAGAGAAGAGTGTGTCGCGTCGCCACGCCCGCCCACGCTGGAAAATGCATGCGCCGCCATGCGCACCGCCGCACGCCGATCGATTTGGACGTGTTGGCACGCGGCTCGTGGCGCGCCGCACGCGCGTGACTGCACCTGCACTGCATGCAGGCCATGCAGGCTGCACGTGGGGCTGAAGAAGAAGCGTCCTTTTTCCCTGCGCCAGCCCCCCCCCCCCTCTCCCAAACCGCCTGCACACATGACGCGCGCTTCCTCCGATCGTGTGCAGCTGTCCTTGCCTCTTTCCCGTCGCGTGCCTCGATTTAACTTTCTGGATTGGACCCGTTCCGCGCGTGCGGCATCCGTGCGCCGACCTCCGCGTCGACCTCCGCGTCGACCTCCGCGTCGACCTCCGTGCCGACCTCCGCGCCGACCTCCACGTCGACCTCCACGTCGACCTCCACGTCGACCTCCACGTCGACCTCCACGTCGACCTCCACGTCGACCTCCGCGCTGACCTCCACGTCGACCTCCACCCACGTTGACCTCCACCCACGACGACCTCCACCCACGACGGCCTCCACCCACGACGACCTCCACCCACGTCGACCTCCTCGACATGACCACTATATGACCTCTACGACGACCTTGGCTCGATTGAAGCGGCCAACGGTGTGTGCGTTGCTGCGCTCGCTACAGTGCGCTCATCATGCAGTGCACCAGCCTCACGTGGGTCTGCTGCAGCAGAGCAGCATCCCGCGGCGGGGTGTACTGTACTGCACTGTAGGCGGTCACGCGGCCACTCTCCGGCCGCGCGCGCTTCCGGCGGAGAAGCCTGCTGCTGCAGTGGCGGTGCAAGCGGTGCAGGCCGCGCAGGCACACCGTGTTTTCTCCTCCTTTTAGCCTCCCTGCCGGCCGGGGGCGGCGGGGCGGCCGGGGCTTCCGCGCGTGTTTATCCCGGCTTTGGTGTGCCGGCAGTGCCGCCCGCAGACTCCGTCGCTCCGTCTCTGCCGCACTCGGGGGGACGCGAGAGAGACAGCCTGCTGGCCGGTGGCGTGGCGTGCCCGTACAGTGGCGTGGGCGTCGCGACGGCCAAAAGACGAGCCTTCCCGTCATGTTTTCCTCGTCAAGAGTCGCCACGCCAACTCTTCCAGCGAAAGGAAAGGGAAAATGGCGGGGCGGAAGGGACGCCGGGATTGCGACCGTGCCTTTGTTGTTGTTTTCGGGTCGCGAATGTCACCGCCGTTTGATGCTGGATTAGGCAATCGAGGCAATCGGCCTTGCTTGGAGTGCACGGTGCACACGGCTGGGTGGAGTTGGACGACGGGTCTCCCGGGGGAGGCGCGGCTGCTGCTGCACTGGACTGCCCCCGACTTTTATTGGTATTGGTCCGGGTCTGGATCATGCCCCCCCCCCCTTTCCCCCCGCCACCCG